CTAATACATTGTAACAATAACTATTATTTATTCATAAAAATGTTTCCAAATAAGGAATTCCAAAATTATACTACTCGTTTTATTTTCCAAATTAATTATTAATTAGACGTAGTGACAGGGAAAATCAGTTTATTCAACGTTAGTTAATATTTCGAGAATCATGCCGATATGAGAATTCAAAGGGCTCAGATGTTACTATTCGTTTTCAAAGTTTACATAATTTTGAATTACCATAAATCAGGGTCGTACGTTAAATTTATTTGTGCTTTGATTTTTTCTCTTGCATTCTTTACTACTAAAACTTTAACAAGACGAATGCTAACTTAAAATATTGTTATAATTTAACAAATTGACTTAAACACAAGTGTTTAGAAATTTTCATACCCTACGAACTTTCGTTGTAATGTAATGTAAGATATTTCTTCCTGTTGCATAAAACTAGGTACAGCTCTATTGTATTGTATGCTATATGGTTGAATCCAACATAAATCTTTGTGAACAATAGTTATGTAAATAAAGCAACAACTTTCTGTCCTGAGCAATGAAAGCAGAGTAGCAGTAATAAAAATTCTGTATGTTACAATAGTACAGTGAAATATGTACAACAGGCACAGTTATTTCAGAAATTGGACCTTTAATCTGTGATCTAATTTTCTGAAGACAATTCTTTAAAATTATTTACACGTTATTCAAATAGAAACATTTTATATGTATTCATGATTTAGGATATATTTTGCATGTTCTGATTTAAATCACTTTGAACCAAAAATCAGTTGTATGTCATTTTTCCTACTTTTATTGTTAATATCACTAAATCTTGGATATCAAACTGTTTGATCTATATTTTACTTGAAGGAACCTTCTACATATTTTACAGTTGAGCATATAATTTTACATTTATTAAATTGATTATACAAATACTTAATTACACAAATTACTGAAATTAGCTCTGCATTACCATATTTATATCTCAAATTCAATACTGTACGAGTCAGAGTTCATTTACGATGGAATCAGGTTAGTTTTTCATAAATATCCAAATTCAGGTGAACCAATTGCAACGTACGATACACATTCGACAAATTAATCAACTTTCGAAATAGTTTCGACAGCGAGTGGCAAATACAGCAGAAACAGAGCGTCGATATTTACACAGACTAGAACGATTTATCGAAAGTTAAGGGGGGGCGTTGTCTATTTATGTGTCTAGCTTCTCTCCCGAAAATCTTCATACGCCTGTTAGAAAGGAAAACGCAAACAAAGCGATAGCTTTTCATGGTACGGCGAGGTGCCAGAAAAGGGAACGCTTGACAGGGGAAAATCTTGAGATACATCCATCCGCGAACGAAAGGGAGCAGCCGTAGAAGGAGAAGAACACTTGCTGGCACAGCGGAAGTCGTGATCCACGCAAGAACAGAGAGGCCATCTCCTTGGAGCAAGGGACACCGAGAAGGAGAGGAGGAACCAAAAAGCTCCTCGTAGAAATTGTCTCCCGAGAATTTACAGTTCCTGCAGCAATTCTCTGTCTCCATTTTTTTGCATATGTTCACCCCGTCAGCGGCGCCAGTCCAGAAACTTATTTTCCAGGCTAAGCCACCCCTACGTTTTCTCATGTTACTCATAAATCATTGATCCTGTCACGGTTTCGTCGACGGGGGGTTCAAGCCGACCAACCGAACGCTTCCTCGAATACTTTCCCGGAAGCATACGCGGGTTACGTGTATCTCGTAGATCCGAACGATCTTCAAAGGGATAACGAGTTTACGCTTTACGCCGAAGGATCGCCGGGTCTTGAACGATCGAGCATTGAGAATAGCAAAATTACTGTTACACTAAACGTCAAATTTAATACGGATATAATGTGATGTAGTATGGTTTGGAAATATTAGGTCGTTGCAGATGAAATGAAATGTGTTTGGAAAATTTTCAACGTGTGTAGTTTTAGTGAAAATATGGTATTTATTAAGGGAAGTATGAGATGCTTATGTCGTACGAGGTTATTTATGCTTTTCTTAAAAGAATATATATTTAACAGCAATTTATTTTGGGACAAAATAAATTTTTGTCGAATTGAGAAGTGATCAGTGCAATTTGATCTTGATCTTTGGTTAATATTCGTACACAATCTGCTATTTAGCAATGAAATCATTGACGAATTTGGGTTGGTTTCGTGTTTTAGATTTAATAAGTGTTATTTAATAGTACATTTAAGAACGAAATTTTCAAATCGGCCATTTGTATGGTGTGGGATACAATTGTAAGTTTAACATGTTCAATTTCATACTTTATATGCAATATTGTGCATTATTTTAGTTAAAGTTAATATTTGTTAACTAATTTATTATTGGAAATTGTTTAAATAATTACATACTACAGTAAATTTTATTAAAGCGTAGAAATTCAATTGATTCGAACAGAAAATCAATTAACCCCTTAACATATAGCAACGTGTCAGACTCGTGGCAGAGATTCTGGTCAAGATGTGAGAAAATAGTTATATTAGTAAGAAAAATTCATTGTAATCCTGTCTTTCCTCTTTAATTTGTAAGACTGAGGATTACTAAATGTAATTAATCTGTAACAGATTAGTTTCTGTTATCTGATACAGTATTAAATAAGTAAATGGCTGACACTTAGATGCACAGTCAGAAAAGTAATCATAGGTTAAGGGGTTAAAATATATTCTTCAATGAATGTGTTAAGGAAGAGGTTATTTAAAAATAAACAATAATAATGCAGGCAATAAACCATTTTAAATAATATTTAATCAATACTGTAAGTTACTTTCAACTTCTTTGAAACAAAGTTTAGTTTTTATTTCTTTTCATGTGAAATTTAAACTAAAAAAAATGAAAGATAAACGTATCTAGTGTATCGTTCGTGGAGCCGAAAAATTACGCAAACCATGGGGTGCGTCAGGCTCGTAGATCACGTAGAAAATAATTTTCACATGATGTAGCAAATATATTTGCTTCGTAGTCGAGTTTTTCCGTCGACTCCGCGACTTTTTGGTCCTCCTTCAATTTAATTCGCAGGAAAATCCGACAATCACCTCTGTCGTGGAAAAAATATGAGGAAGGGAAGAAAGGTTGCAGCGTCATATGAAATCAATAAAGTGGATAAAGAAAACTTTCCCCCTTTAAGGCTTTTTACGATAGTTCCTTAGAATTTAAATTTTCATCGTTTGAAATCTCAATAACGGGTGTCGTTCTTCTTTCTTTCTTTTTTTAACAATAAAAATAATTTCAAATTGATACCGTGAAAAGTAAATCATATCGAATGACTGCAAATAAAACTGACACAAAGGAGAAACAATACGGAGACGTGGAAATGTGAAGAATAACTGAAAAATTACTTACCTTAGAATTCACAATTAAGCACAACTCTTTCAGTTTTTTTATAATACCACGCCGTGTCCGTTCTTGATTAATGTGTTCCAGTATCCAGTCGATCACATCTGAAGCAGCAAAACATAAAAATATGACATCAGTTAAATTACACGTGTATTATTTGTCCATCTATTTTTCTTCGTTAAACAGACTTTATTTTTCTTATTTTCGATTTTTAATAGCTACGCATGAAAGTTGTTCATTCGAGACTGTGTGTATCCATGCTTGCTGTATTCAATCAATATTAGCCGTGAATTGATTTGAAGGAAGGGAAGGATAACTGAATCATCGCAGGGACGCGTGATTCGGTTAACCGACAAACGAAGAAGTTATTATCAGTAATCTAATATTATCATTGCTGCTGCTGGCATTTAACAACTTGGAAGAAATTTTGGCGTCAAGGATCTCTCTGGTTAAAATAACACTATTCTATGCGGAACAATAGCTTCACTTTCATGTTTATAGTTTCTATGTTAAAACGAAGACTACGTTGCTTTCCTGATCTCTTAGGTATATTAACAGATATCTATATTATAAGATGAAATCGAACAATCATTTTTCTTTCATCTTCATCATCTTTCTTTCAATCATCTTTGATTTTAATTAGATTACGTTTATCTTGTTACTTCTGAATGTGCAATATTTTTGAAGTTCGTATTTTATAAACTTATTTTCATATTTACATCGTATTTACTTGAATATTGAACAGATGTTCTAACTTCATGTTTTATATGAACAGTATCTATGAAAAGTAGTGTTCTTCTTTTTCTTTACTCTTGTATAAAAATATATATAAAGGCTATGAAACTTTAGGAACTTAAGTTAATTCATTATCGAACTGTTTTATTAATTATATTTTATCAACTATGACAATACAATGGTCTCTTTTATAGCAAACAACTTTCATTCGAAAAATGTTTCTCTTACTTTCATAATTTCGGAGATATTCAAAATGGCACTTAATGGTCCACCCTGTGCACTGCCAATAACTCTGTTTATCGATTCGAATGATTTAAAAACGACAAATTCGGTCAATAATAACAAGTCTAGGAAAAACCACCAAGTACAAACGTTCGTTAAAATTTCCTTTACCGAAACAATCTTCCCAAAGAAGCAAAAGAAAAAAAAATGTTCCCTGATAAAACGTGCATTTAATCGTCAAATGAGCAGAACTGGGCCTGTGCTTAATCATTTTCCCTCGCAAACTGAAAAATATCGAAGAAAAGTTGCGCCTTAAAGAAGACTCGTAAGTCATAGGATTTAGCGAAAGGTAGGACGAGGAACGTACCTTGGGGATAGTTGTTAGTCTGATGTTCCATAAAGAGCGTGCGTAACTCGTCCTCTTGGGCTTCGGTCCACAGGCTGCGCGAAACTTTCTTGTTATCCGTTTCCGCGTTGTAACCCTCGACGACCGCGGTCGCGTCACGAGTGGTCTTCCAGAAGAGCAGCTCCATGTACGCTTTCCGGTTCTTCTGCGCGACTTCGATGAAACGGCGGATTATGAAGACAGCGAACTTTTGGAGTTCCTGCAAAGGGGTCTCGGTTTTCAGGGCTGGAGACAAGCACACTTCCGGCGGCCATTAAGCAACATGTAGAAATGTAGATTGTGAAATTCTTTGAGTCGAGAGAAAAACAGCGTTCGTGGAGTATCGTACGAAAACTGTAGGATCGACGTTGAACGACTTGAAAATTTCAACGATAACAAACTATAGCATGCTATTTTTTTAGTTAAAATAAATTTTTTTATGGTTTGACCCTTTCGCTGTGGCAGATTTTAATATTTAACGTGTCTAGCAGACGGTAAATTTTTAGCCATGCAAAAATTGCTGTTTTGGTCGTGTCGTTTTAAAATTCGATTGATTAAATTAAGGTGGAAGTGGGTAAAGGATAACGTTAGGTATTAAATTAAGGTGGAAGTGCATCAGAAGCAACGGAACGGTTGAAAACTGTATTTAGAATCTATAGAATATCAGGAGTTTTAATGGTAAAAGTTATTTCAATCTTGTTGCATATACCGGGTGTCCGGAGAGAAATTCAACAAACTTCGCACAGGTATTTAGCAGGTTATTCTGAGCGAAAAATGTCATGTACAGTATAGGTCTATTTTGTTTCGTTACCGTGATAAACATTGTTGACGCTTCTTTCGAGAACAGGGCTCCCAATGATAAAGGTGAAGTTTGCGTATGGCATTCAGTCTACGTTTTAGACTTGATTTGGTTAGTTTGACAATGTGCACAATGCTTCGTATATTTCAAATGCAAAGTGTGCTGATATGATATTCATATACAGTTTCTGCAATGGGAATAGTAGAGCTGCGGTAGCTGAGTATCAGCAACTGTACTCTGATTGTACAATTTATTACTATTCTGTTTCCAAAAATGTCTTTATAAATTTGAGAGAAACGGGTTTCGAACGCTATCTGTAAATTAAATAATTGATACGTCAAAAGTAAGATAAAGCATATACGTCGGAATTATTGTCTCACTGTATATATGTTGGATACATTATTTTCGATATAATTGACTAAGGAAGCGAAACAGACCCATAGTGTATATGACATTTTTTGTCCAGAATCACCTGCTTAACACGTGGGTCAAGTTTTTTGAACTCCTTACGGAATACCAATATATTATTTTCTATATAACTGACTAACGAAACGAATGATATCCATATAATTAAAAAAGTGAAATATATTGATATTAGTAAATTTAATTAAGCATGGTTACCTTGTGGCCAGGATACCTCGATTCAAGAATTCTTTGAAAGACACGAAACATCGATGCCTGAAACATCATTCCCGGCTGTTTGCAATCCCAAGCCACCCGATGAAGCATCTTGTTAACGTAATGATTCAGTTCGTCTGTGTTCTTGTCAAATTGTTGCAGCAGAAGTAACATAGCTTTTACAATTTTTACATTGGCGAACCTGACAAAAAAATATACAAAAACGTTAAAGAAAAATATAGTTGTTTAATATTCTGGTACCACGTGTAGGAGTTATTTCACCTGTAAACGAATTCAGTAAAATTGAAATCAGTTTCGACGACAACAGATCGTGGCTCTGATTCTTCTTCCTCGTCTTCGTCCTCTGAAAGAAGCACGATTCATATATTTAGTATATATCCAGTGATTTCATTAAGTATAGGTGCTATGTAATATCTCGTTTATTATATCTTACCTGACATATCATTAAGAAGATTTTCAACATTTTCCCTTTCACGTGTTTCGCTTTGTGCAACAGGATCCTCTTCAACTACTGAAAACAGAATAAAATTTACTTTTTATTGGTTTTATAATATCAAAGAAGTACAGTGCATAATGGTTATAAAAGAAGCAAATATTGAAAACAAAAAGAAGAATGTCTTTGGTGGAATACTGAACTCAAAACAGTTTTCTTTTTATTTATTTTATAATATAAAACAAAGACAGCAAGAAAACTGAACAGAGTGAAAGCAGATTATATTATGAATAATTAACAATAAACATAACTTCTTTGTAAATACGTTTATAACATTCTGCCCTAGTTTCAAAACTCTATCAAAAACCCTTCACTTTCGCAGAATAAAAAATGACACTTCAAAGAAAACTGTTATTAATACTTACACACTTTGTAATAATAAAACTAATCATTCCCTTAGCTAAAATTAAAAAAAAAAAAAGAGAAGAATATTCTGAAACGTCGCAGCACAGTGTTTCCAGCTCGTCCTAAATACGTGCTAACAACCTATGGAAATTTTCAAACGCGCAACACTATTTCTTCTACGGGCGGGCATGACAATTCTCGCAAACAATTACAAGCTTCGCTTGAATACCGGCCAAACGCGGCAAACACGCTATTGAATTCGCCTAGAGAAGAATCAATGGATGTCGACTGTCGTTTTTGGACTCGATCGAGGTACGACAAATCGCACGTCGTAGCTCAGGCACAGGAAGTGTCGATTCCCCGGATCGTTCGTTAAAATCCATCACTGAAAAATTGGGCTAGCCGAGAGGAACCAACTAACCAGAAAGAAAAAAAAGAGAGTCGAAAAGTGGGGGTAGAGATCGCGCGGTTGGATTAATTTACACGGAAAATTCTGGAAAACGATGGCGAGCGCCGAAAACGACGATACAGGGGTAGCCGGGGAGAATTCGTAGGTGTTCGGCGGGAATGCAGGAATCCGATCGAATCCGATCCCGGTAGGTTTCGAGTTACCTTGTTTTTTCTCTGCACTGCGGACGACCCCGACCAGCGAATTAAGCGGCCGTGGAAAGACGATTACATTTTCAACGAGTCTGCCGAGGCGAATCCAGCGGAGGCCGATGGCCAGGGAAAAATTGCACTCGGTGAAACCGACGATTGGATCGGCACAAAGCCTCGTTACGCGGCAAATTTTCTAAGGCTTCGAGGGAGAGTATCCTCTTTTTTTTTTTTACCCTCGCTTTCTGAAAGTCGCGATCATGCTCGCGCGACATTTCTCCCCAAACCCTTCCGACGGCGATTGTTAGCCCCTCGAATGGCGAATAGAGAGGGCTTGATCGTGTCATTAATTTTCGCGTTCTTTCACTTCTGTCGGACAGTTTATGATACGACGCTTTGGTACAGGTGAAATTCGAGTGTAAGGGGACAGACGGGGAAGCATAAACGCGTATTCGTAAATATGTCTGGAATAGGACCGACGTGTTTTCATTTCTTGTAGTTAGTATGAAATTTTTTAAATATTGTGTAATTTGATTATTTAACGAATGTTTAATTTATATTAATGTACAAATATATATACATACAGGGTGAGGCACCTAACTTGATCACCTCGAATAACTTCTAAATTATGCGTTGTACAAAAAATTATTTCTACAAAGGTTACATGGTATCAAGGGGAACATCGCATGGTGTACACGATTTCTTTATAAGTGGAGGCGTTTAGGAGATTTGCAGGTCAACTTTGTTTTTTTAAATGGAATGCCCTATTTTTTTATGGCAGTTCGGAAGCTCGTTAATTTCCAAGTAAAAAAGTATTAAACATTGTTTGTCCTAAAGCTAATAATTAACGAGATATTAACGAAAGTTTGATTTGCATATGGTCGCGTTGATATATACAGGGTGTTACATTTAAACGAGAACGGTGAAATATCTCACGAGGAATTGAAGCTATGAAAATAATACTTGTACACCAGTTGTTTGTTACAAAGGATAACATTATGTGGTATGAATAATTTTTCTGTAGGTGCAGTAATGGAGAAGATATCAAAGTCAAGTTAATTTTTTTAAACTAAATTTTTTTACATCAATTTACAGCTAAGTTGTATAATAATTTCTTTACAAAGAGTGTCTTTCCAGTCTACTTTGCAATTTTACAAACTATGCAAAATTTTTTATTTCAAATATTTTAATTACAATTTCCAAAAGTTTCGGTAAAAGAAAGATTCTCGCATGTTCGTTTTACCGCACTTATAGCGGAACATATGAGCCTTCGAACCCGGAGATCCCACTTGGAGTTAGGAATACATTAGAACTAAACGACCTTTAAAAGTAGCCGAGCGAAGTATTTTAAATCATTGCGTAAAGTTCTGTTTTAAAAGCACTATGTTACTCCGGCCAAGGAAAACTTTGTCCACCGTCCGAAGAATCCAGTTTGCCCAAGTGACGTCGACGGCGATGCTATTTCAACTTAAAGTTTTAATTGTTCCTTTCCGCGGTCTTCTGAACTCGCTACACCGGTTCGAGATAAAATAAAACGCCCACGGAGCCGCAACGTTTTCATCTTAAATTAAAAAATTTTTCCCCGGGCGAAATAAGAGGGAGACATCTCGCAGTGATTTGTCAAGAAATGAAGCAGCACGATAGCTACACCGAAATTGTACAGATCTTTCCGAAACTTGTTATTGAGAAATTTTTATATAGGGCAAAGATGAGTAGTGTATTTTTAACGGAAGATGCTGAGAGTAATTGAAGATGAATGAATAACACGAAAAAATATTATGAAATACGAAGCAGCGAAATCGATTCTAATTAAAACGAATTTAATTTATCTTCGATGCTATAAAATATCGTTTATTTCACGATAAAATTGATGTTATTCTGTTTCTTATTACGTTTCGTGTAAATGAAATATCTGAAGCATTGTAAGATATTAATGTGTGTGTTTTGAAAAATTATGAAATGCGAAGCAGTGGATTAAATTCTAATTTAACGCAGTTTAATTCATATCCATCTTCGATGCTGTAAAATATTTATTTTACGATCAAATTGATGCGCTGTTTGGTATTACGTATGATGTAAATTTAACTATCGTAAAATACGCGAGTATTTTGAAACGTATTTCAGTTACTATCTTCACAGTTCATTTTTCTTTTTAATAGGGTATCAAATCAACGAAATACAAATCAAGATTACATAAATGATTTTTAAAAATAACAAAGAAAAGAATTAATATTTTTTGCATAAAAAGAATTGCAGTAATAATGAATACGTGAAAATTAAACATTGACGAAGTTTAATTGTTATTAAAGTTTCTACATTTCACAATGTTCGTCAGATAATGTTAATATTAACCTCGTTTCAATCGTGTAACGGGAAAATCTACAAGAATTACAGACACACATCGACTTATCTTCCAATCGATTAATTGATTTAATCGCGCACTGAACCATCGAAATGAACGAACAACAACGGGGGAATAATAAATTTCTGAAAAATTTATCTCGCTTCGGCACCGACGCGTTATTTATTTTCTACAACCGAATCAAGCATTAATTTCGTTTGTTTGGCCACTCGCGCGCGAAGAATTTAATAATGTCCCGTCTCTTCCGCATTCCGCTCCGCAGAAAGCCCCGTGGGTCGCAAATTAACGATGCAAAGGCGTGACGTTCAAAAATATTCTTGAAAACGAAGAGACGTGATTATAGCTGATGATAGGTTTAACGAGATTTCTATTAAATTTCAACTGAACGAACGAATACTCGTTTGACCCCTCCACTTCCAAAAATTCTTCACTTCGGCTTGTTTCACATTTAAATCGTCGTATCTCTGTTTTCAATTAACATAGAGATAAAAGTTGAACGGTAATTTTCTCGACAGTCGAAGATGAATCAAACTACACATAAAAAATAAGAAGACCGTTGTTATTTAACAAGTGTGTTTTTCGATAATAATCGCTTTACTAACGAGTGTACCCAAACATTTGGCCGGTAGTGTAAATCGAACTGTACCATCTGCAGTGGAGCGTGGATGTTGAATTTTTCGTGGCAACGCTCCACCGTAGAAAATATAGTTCGCCTTGGGAGTGATTTGAGGAACACATCGGATTTATCTTCAAATAACGAGTAAAATACCTTTTGGTTTTTTGTCGCTGTGGCAGTTAGAAACAGAGATACGTCAGTTTGAATTCTTCCTACATTTCGCTACGAGCTGTCCGAACCACCCTGTATATGCTTTTCCGATCACTTTACGAATAATTTCAGGAGTGCGTTTGGTTCGTCTTCAAACAACAATTAAAATACCTTTCGGGTTTTCTAGCCGTCTGAATTAGAAACAGAGACACGTCGGTTCGAATTTTTCCTCCGTTTCGTCATCCCTACAGCTCGTTTGGACTTGAATTTAGTCCGAGCATTCGTTCGTTTGGCCTAAACGCACCTTTGACAGAACGTTCGCCCATTCAGATTAGCCGAGTCTGAGTGAACTCGATTTTGTCAAGAGCTTCCCATTTGTACAAACATAATGTCGTAGAGAGTCGATCTGGAGAGTCAATAGCTTGCAATATTTATCGCCCCGATACGTAGTTACCTGCCGAAAACGCATACATCAGCCACACCGGGATCGGATTAAAGCTTTACTGCCGCGGGAACATTGTATCAGTTATTCACTTCTCGTTGGAAATTATTTCAGATTTGAATCGTTTCCTCTGAAAGGGTCGCCAAGTGTGTGCGATCTACGCTGGATTTCACATTTGATAGATGTTATTGAATGCGTAGGATTACTACCAGTTGACGATCATTTTATGTCCGGGTGCTACGAGTATTGAACTTTCGAATGTGACTCTTATCGATGCTTTATATTCGGAAAAATTTATCTTCCAATTTCCTCTGTAGACTTTATCCCCGTCAAATTTCAGCTTAACTGAAATTTAACGGGGGGATCTGTACGTAGTAAAAATATGAATAAACGGTACTTTTAATTTTATCAGAGACTACAGGGTGTTCCAGCTGA